TCTCTTTCCCTTCTGGCCCTCGGGAGCTGTGATGTGCAGGATTGTTTTGGGTTTCTCACTTGTGACTACTTCTGTGAGTGAATCTTTCTTTCCAATCACAGCGGCGAGTCTTCAAACATTTTGTGCCCTAAGCAAGGCTGCAGGGCCAGATTGCCCAGAATACGAACTTCTCGCGTTTCGATCACGGTCTAGCCGTTGAGAGAAAGGGAGAGAGGGAGAGTGAGAGAGAGAGAGAGACAGGGAGAGAGAGCGGGAGAGAGAAAGCACCAAAGACATGCTATAATTAGCGTGAGTTTGATATGTTTCTTGCCAGTGTAGAGGCCCTCGACTTCTTCAGCCCCGTTGGCCCTTCAACCCTGCACCACCACTCACCCCCTCTCTTCCCCTCTCCCTTGCTTGATTAGCCTGTGAAAAAGCCAACAGTCCTGTTGCGTGCTGAGGGTGACGGTGACCGGGACCGATACCTGCATCACAAGCAGGCACTGCCCTCGACGAACTTCTAGAGTCTAACGATGTCTAACGGGATTGCTGGTAGCAAACCATGAATCATTACCGTCCTTGGTAGACATTGGCTCAACTTTCCCGCTTGGCTGGTTTAGGTGGTCAAGAGTTCTTCGTGATGGACTTGCCCAACCTCTTCACGTTCATCGGACGGTCCAAGCACATGGCGTGGTTCAGAAGCTGTATTGCTTCGTCAACGCAGCTTGGGTCCGCATATTCCTTCAGCTGGCTGGTGCACATGTGCCGAAACTCGCAGACACTTGGGGGCTTACGAACATACGGGGCCCCTAACATAGACCCCAAAAAGTAGGTTTCCCCAATAAGGTGCGCGTAAGTTCGAAACTCCCCACTTCTCAGTTGGCCAAGAAGCTACGAAGGCACAACCCTTGAACTTGCCGCCCTTCTCGCGGACCAGTCGCACCTCATGCCTCAGTGCCACGAACCCCCAAACAAGCAACGCCCGCCCTCGACTGGTCTTCCCCTAGACCCTTGTCCTAAACCCTAAGCCCTAAACCCTAACGGGAGGCCATAGGGTGCAGCAATCATGCAGAAGTATGCGAAACTATGCAACAAGAGGAAAGGAAACCACAGTTAGACGGAGAGGTCGATAGAAGCACATGTTACAAAGATCAACCTGCCATTGCATGCCATCAGAACTACAATGAGCAGAATGGCAGAAAACGAGCATTTGGGTTTAAACCTTTTAACACTCGCTGTGCACAAGAATGCGGTGATATGCATTGTGTTGCATTGTTGCATAAGCGACCAGTGAAGACTCCTGCTCGCGCTGGGCCGCACTTCGCCAGCTCCTTCCATGGTCTCCCGGAGGACGTCCTCGTCAAGTTCGGCAGGAAGATTCCCAACGAAGAGGTGAGGCCGCCTCAGGGTTGCGCTGGTTCACTTGAAGAGGGGACAACAGTTGCGCCCTCGAAGCAGAAGCAAGGCATGAATCAAGTCACGATCCATGCTGCCTCGGGGCTTCGGGAGTTTAGGAAATCCGAAACCCTGGCCTCCGCTTTGGCTTCCGGCTTGGTGACTGGCTCCTCGGTCGGAAGACTTTCAGCGAGCTCCCGCGGAAGTCCGCCCAATGCAGTCGCTCCTTTACACACCGGTGCAGCTTGAGTTTTTCAGGCTTCTTTCAGGGGGTCCACCATCACGCTGCAATGCACGCACCGTCGGCGAGCAGCTGCAGAAACTTTCCCGAAGTCTATTATAAGCCCTAAACCATGTCCAAATGCGAACACATGATGGTGCCGCCGGTGACAGGTCGCATTGTTTCGCAAACATCTGTCCATCATGGCGTTCTTGAAATACTCGAAGAAAGCTGAGGTTCATGATTGCTGGGCCTGAAGGGTTGAGGTTTGATCTGCCACCTCGAGCGGGGACTTGTTCTGTGTGCGGGGGCACAGAACAAAGTTTTCAAGCGCCGCTTCCGCGACCACCAAACAGTTCTTCCGGACTGCATGAAGTAGAGGCCAAATGTCTTACAGCCTCATAACGCAACCGCGAGCACGGGAATCTCATTCATGACTCCTTTTCTGAAAACCTAGTTTTCTGGGAAATTCTGGATATCTCCTTTACTGAAAACCTAGAATTCTGGGGAATTCTGGATATTTCCGGAGTTCGTCTTGCTGGAATTGCCGATGGTCTAGCTAACATGCCTCCCTACCCCCAAACAGTTGTCGATGTGTAGCCATCACCTCAGACGGGCTCCAGTGGACTGAGCAAAGCCAGCTATGCCTTCCTTGGGGAAGGTTGGGGTTCCTGGCAAAAGGACATTGCCCGCCGATTTTCGGCACCCGTCACAGGGTGATTTCTAGCCTTTTCTAGTTTTTTGTTTTTTCTAGCTTGTTCTAGCATTTTCTAGTTTTTTTCCGGTGTTTTCTAGTCTTTGCTAGTGTTTTCTAGCTTATTCTCGGTTTTGCTAGCCTCCACCGGAAATAAAGAAATCGAGCCCGGGAAATGCCCAAGCAATTCCCAGAAATCCGGAAATCGAGCCCGAGAAACTCCCAGAGGTCTTAAGGTTAAGGGTTACGTACTCGTCTAAGCTACAGGCAGCAGATTCCTCGAGTTGAGCATCTCACTCGATTCCTTGATATTTCTGTGTGCGATATCAATATACATCCATGATATTCGACTGGACTTGTGGCAGGAATTATTCAGGTTTTTAAGTTTTTCTTAGCTTTTCATAGCTTCTGCTGGTTTTTCATAGTTTTTCCTAGCATTCCTTTTTTTTTCTCCTGAATGTTCTGCATTTTTCTGCATTCTTCTTGGAATCGAAAACAAACACCACATTAAACAATCACCATATGCGGCTGCTCGAAAAGGAACGCCAGCAATTGCCATCTAAAGCCTGAACCCATGAACCTGCTCAGCCTTCCTCTACATTGAGCAGAAGCTGGTAAGTCAAGCTTCCATCGCCGTCGCCGCATCAGTGGCCTCCAGATAAGCCAGCCGCGCGTGCGTCCCGCCCTCCTCCCGGAGCAGCTTTACCTCGGGTTAGGGTTTCGACTCTCACACTCGCACAAGGCCGGCAAGGCATCGGTTGGCTTTTAGGTCTGAGGTGGTTTAAGGATTAGGGTTCGAGAGGCACAAACGCACACATCTGAGGAGGAGAAGAAAGACATTGTTTGCCTTGGCTTTATAAGGTTCAGGGTGTCAGTTCAGGGTGCCAGGGGCCTCGGGTCCAAGGGTCAAGGGATGATGCGCCGCTCATGTTCACCTTCCTGCACTTGCAAATGGAGCGAGCATGTTCCGGCTAAGGACCTCTGAGAGCGGCCCAATCGGTTCGAACAGTAGCCTCAGCTCGTCCTCTTGCGCGTCATCAGGAAGATTTCCTTGCAAGGCTTCGTCTCCCCTCTCTGCGCACCCCCCCCCCCCCGAGGTCAGGACTCTAAAAGCAAACATGGCAATGGTCATGGCTTCAAGATGCTTGAAAGGTATCAACAACTTCTCTAGCGCTGGCACCCGACAAAGAGGTTTCTTTGTGTCCAGGCTGCTGACGACAAGCTCCTTTCCCAGAGGACCCTCCGCAAGGAGGCAAGGGCAGCGTTTGCGTGCAGGATTTCTCAAGAGATAAAGAGAAAGAGATAGAGCAAGAGAGAGAGAGAGAGAGAGAGAGAGAGAGAGAGAGCGACATGCAGGGAGAGATGGAGAGCGAGAGGGAGAGGGGGAGGGAGGGAGAGGGAGAGACAGAGAGGGGGAGAGAGGGGGAGCAACGGGGAGACGGGAGGCAGCCTCGCCGCCCAGACAACCCCAAAAGCAACACCCTAAACCCGTTGTTACGGCCTCGCCTGCACTTTTCAGAAGCCTTCTTGGGCTCCACGCTCCATGTGTTCCCAGATTTTTAGGGTTTAGGGTTTAAAGGGTTAAGGGTTAAGGGTTAAGGGTTTAGGATGGGAGAGACTTGGGTTCCTGTTGTCAACATTGTCAACATATTGACACGCAACAGGGCTGAGCCTTTGAAGCCTGCGCCGCATGGCCCTTTTTGTTCGACCATCCCTTAGAGGCGCCAGCAAATATTTGTTAAATAAAAAATCTACCGTTATATGAATATGTGAGTATAAATTGTCGGATTGAAGCCAGAGATGTGCCAAGTCCTCAGCTGAGGTCCCCGGCATCATTGTCCTTTCCAGACTGCTTCACGCGCACCTTCCTGAGACTCCGAAGAAGCGAATGAAACGCATCGCTCAGGCGTGTGGCATGGTAGCCAAGCTTTCGGGGTGGGCAAGCCCCACTGAACCTTCATTGCCTCTCAAGGACGCAGTCCTTGTTCGCAGCCCTCGCTTTTACTGGAGTTCTTAGGCCAGGCGGCTTGCCAAAGAGCTCCAAAGATCGGAACTTCTCCAGTGCCGATGCTGCCTGCGCCTGGCAAGGTGAGGTCAACTCTCGCTGACGGTGTTTCGGGGGTTATAGGGATATAGAATTATGCAGTACTGCAGTGGATTCCAGGGTCTCAAGGTGTGATGGGTGAACTGTCAAGATACGTCCCTAGAGATAGAAAGACTCATGATGGTACGGTTTCTAGACCAGATTTCCCGTCCAGTTGATGCACCAAGACAGTAGATTCATGGGCCGGGTCTTTTGGTGCTTCGTTCCGCATGGGAACTCTCCAAAATATGGTCACCTTTCCTATGACATGTACCGCAGGACCCCAAAAGGGACCACCACTTAGGCAACTGACCATGTATATATATATATATATAAAGCGCACGCTGCAAATCGTGGAGTTAGACTCCGCATGTTCATGGGTGTTACGTTAGACAGCAAGGAGATGCCCCCAGGAAGTGACTCGTGAACGCCAGCTATAGTGCTGCGTACAGCATGCAAACGAGAGAGCAACACCGCCGTCTTGTACCGCACCTCAGTGTATTCAAGCCAGTTAAACTTACGTTAAAGCATCACAAGCCTCGGTGGAGAGTGATGCCACAGCGAACGTCTTGACATGTCGGGAGCTGATGAAAGTCAGACATGCTACGAGCCAACGTATGCGTCGTGATGCGTCGTCAGTTAGCCAAGAGGCAAAGGCGTAATTAGCCCTGTGGTCGTCGGCTTTGTTCCGGACAATGGCGACCTCACAATGACGACCGTGTCGGCTGACATTCTTACAGTATACATACACTTGCAGTACATTCCTTGACGTATTCAAAGCCAATGAGGACGCTCCATCAGACACTGCACTCTAAGCCCGAAAGGAGTAAGTCCTGAAGCCTCAGGCCAGGCACTTCTTTGAGCCCGTCAACATCACAGAATATGCCGCGCAGGTCCTCCTCCGTTGCCTCCGCGGGCACGTTGCCCAGAAAGAGCTTGCCTGAGGAGTCCACAAAAGCCGGCTGCAAGCATTGAAGACCCATAGCCAATTCTCAAAATTCTGGTCCCTTTTAAGTACCCTAAATACTAAGTACCGCCTTATAGTGGTAACCCAACAGGGACCGTGATTTAGAGAAGTGAAGACATATTTCTTAGATTTGCAGCGAGGGGCTAGGCTCCGGCTCCCGCTGCGGCTTCTTAGGAGAATGGCTGCGATGCGCCCTCTGTGATCCACGTGGTGCGGGTGCACGATTCAGCAGCAGCAGCTTCTTTCTCTCCTTGATGGCAGGAAATAGCAGCAACTGCTGCCGCTTTGCATAAAGCTTGTCAAGACGAGTTACACGGCCTGCTACATCAATCGGTCCAGAAGGGTTTTTGGGGGCATTCTTCTACGTCTGCGGGCAGTGAGGGCCAGAGGGCAGCGAGTAACGAAGAACCGTGGCTTCAGGCAGTGCATCTTACCGAATTTCTGCAGAATCTTAGCGCTGTTTAGGGTTTATAGGGTTTAGAGTTTTAGGGTTTTAGGGCTGAGTCGCGGTTTAGGGCTGCTAAGGGTGCGCCGCGGTACCTGCTCCATATCCAGGCGCAGAGGGCTTCCCAGACAGTCAGCGCCTTGAAGTGTTTGGATTGCCTGACAAAGCCGAAGATATGGGAGGGGGTTTTTGTTCTCAGGGTCCTTTAATTAAGGGAATGGGGATAAGAAGAGCTCTAAAAAGGGGGAGAATCGCTACTAAGGTGCTGAAGGAGAGGAACTTGCTTTGTGCTTTTCTTTGGGGGACAAGTAGGGACAACTACCACAGGCTGCTGCTTCATACTCGTCGTGTCGGCCGCTACTTTCGTTCAACCTCCCTGCAGGATCTTCGTTTCTCTAAGGGTAGTCTCAAAGTCCCTTAATATGGTCCCAGGGGTGTATAACGGGCCCCCATTTAAGTGCCCAAATTTAGGGACCACGGAACCACCCTAAGAGCTACAGATTACAGCGCCACGCTTGGTTTACACCTATGGTCCGAAATCCTGAACCCCCAAACCCTTACCCTGAACCGGCATAAGCAATGCTCATTGAAAGGCCTTTGTCGCCTCCTCATGCCGCGAAAAGTCCACAAACCTTGAGCTCTAAGAGCTGCCAACAACTCACATTGTAGGGTTTAGGGTTTTTTTCCCACCCGACTAGCCAGCAGCAATGCTTAGGGTTTAGGGTTTAGGGTTTAGGACCGTAATAGGGAAGTTGAGGTTTATCCGATGTTCATTGGTCGTCTGGGTAGGGCCATGATGGTGAGGCTGAGGTCTGGACAGTTGTTCACCCGTCTGTGCATGGCTTCTGGCCGCGGGGGGTCGCCCGGGCCGTGATCCCAAGAAAAGAAGAAAAAACAAATTCCCGAGCGGCCTGTCCTAATATGTCCTAACCTGGTCCTGACACATCCGGTCTGGTTTGGGGTCTCAGGGTACAAGGGCAATCTTCAGAGGGGTGTTGGATGGTTTTGGGGACGGGGACCCCTTCCCATGCACGCACCTAAGATGATGTGTGAGAGACAGATGTAAAGCATCAAGGACCTAGGTCATGCCAGACGTGGGGCCAAACAATTTATTCGCAAAACCTTCGCTCCGAAAAATTAGCCCCAGAAAAGATCACACACACCGACCATGTCCGAAACACACACACACACACATACACACATATGTTTGGGGAGTACGAACCGTGCTGCTTCAGCCAAGCGGCGCGATGCAGTTTCTGCCATTCCGCACAATGCGCACATCGGTAACTTTACCGGCAGGGGTCAGCGCTGCTTGGACGTTCGCCTCCTGTGCCTCGTACCTGGGCGAGTCTGCAAAAACTTCAATGACGCCCAAGACTTGTGATTTCTCACTAACTAGTTGCCGTGCTTCACACATGTGAGCGGGCCCACTTGCAATCCTTCATGAGGCCCGTGAATCCACGCAAGAAAAAGCAGCACCATCTGCAAAACCGACTCTTTGTAGGGTTCGCAGGAAAGTCAAAAGCTGGCCAATAGAAATCTGAAACTAGTTTAAGCCGGAGGTTGATTAGCTTGAGGTTTAGATCAGGTTTGCTCGAATTTTCAAGTGACCTAACTTCTGGTGCTTTCATCTTGGGAACGAAACTCGCAAAAGCTGTAACTAGTATTGACCTTCCACCTCATGCATCAAGTTGCTCCCTCGTGAAGATGTTAATAACCTTTGAAATATAAGTGATGTGTGCGGGATCGGTTCTGATATCAAGCGCAAATGCTCGATGTAATCGCCTCCTATTTTGTGGAAAATCGTACGGCTTCGCAGCCTACCCCTTTTTTTCAGGTCAAACGAGGATTGTAACAGAATGGTCTGCAGCACATGTGACGCATGTGCTTCTGCCCGGGAAGTACTGTAAAGCCACGCAGTCTCAAATGTGCCCAGGCCGCAATGCCCTGTTCGGGGTTTCAGTTTAAGCTACAACTACCGATACACAAGAGAAGGGAACAAACGGTTCACTTACTTCACCCTGTTGCAACAACCCTGCACTGCAGCGGTGGCACGGGATGTTTGCCACGAAGAGTGTAGCGCTGTCTTCCCGTGGCTTGGTTGGGCTGACTTGGATGCCTCAGGTACGCACTTGCAGCAGGAGCCGATATGCACTGACCCACGGCAATCCGCTGGTTCGCATGCTGTGGAATACAAGAAGAAGTATGGGTCTCTGGAGGAATGTGGTGCCATATGTACCTGACTCTATCTCTCCCTCTCTCTCTCTATATGATATGCATACGCAATATATTATCAGAATCATAGCCGCATGAAGGTCCTCCCCGGCCTTGGCCGCGAAGGGTGGCACCAGCAAGTGCAGCTACAGCTTGCTGCGCCAGGTCTGCAGATGCCAGGCGCACGTAGCAGAAGCGCAGGGAGCCTGGGCATCTCTGGCTGGGGCTTCAGCGTTTGGATTCGGGGTTTGTGGTTTGGGGGTTTTTGCCACCCGCCTAGCAAACCCGCTCTGGGATCACTCCGGGGTTTGGGGTTTAGGGTTTAGGCGGTTTAGGGTTTGGGATTCGGGGTTTGGGGTTAGGGTTTTGGGCTGGGAACGCTCCACTCAGTGTGGGCCAGAAGGTCTGGACTGCTGTGTGCCGGTCAATCTCTCCACTGGCCTGCGTCGGTGCTGGGGTCGGGCCAGTGCCTGACGTCTGAGCAAGACATGGCTAATCTGCTCCATGCGGACTTGGTTTAAACTCCTGTGGGCGTACATCGGAGATTTCCTTTTGCAAAGTCGCACTTTGGCCGGGCCAATCGGCGCGAAAAGCGTCTCGATCTCATCCTTGCACCACCCCGAGTTGTGCGAACAGGCGATCGCACAGTTCGCACAGTCGTGACTACAAGAAAAAGACAGACAGGTTTAATCAGCGAGCTTGCTGCGAGCAAGCCACCGCCCTCGCTCCCTCAGATCGTGCATTCACTGCGGGACACATAGCTTCCAGCCCGATCGATCTCCAGTGGGGTGTCAATGTCCAGCCAGGGGGCAGGGTGCAAGTTCATGACTAAAACGACAGCGGCATCAGCGGTGTCTTCCACGTAGTGCTGCGCAGATTCGGCTGGCCGTGCTCCTTATCGCTGATGGGGTATGTTCTTCGGAAGGGCATGCGGTGTGTGTGTGTGTGTGTGTGTGTGTGTGTGTGAGTGACTCTCCTTGTTCCAATAAGCGTTCCGACTTCGCTCGGCTCCTCGCCGTGAATCCCAACTCGCAGTAAACGCAGCCTTCTTGGAACCATATAAACCCTGAAAAAAGCCTTTAAAAAAAACTTCAGATACAACCCCCCCCGCCCCCCCGTTTGAAGCACCGTGCGTCGAGGCTTGAGGCTGCACTCGAGGCTTCGCTCGCCCAGACACTCGCCTCGCAAGCCTGCTGCGGCCTTCCTCGGAGGGCTGGAGGGGTGGGGGCGCGGGGTACTCTTAGGGGGTGCTTGAGCTTGTATAGACTATTGTACGAGAGGCAAAACAAGATCAAGAAAGAGAGACAGAGAGAGGGAGAGAGAGAGAGAGAGAGAGAAATAGAGAGATAAGAGGCACATGTTGACATGTATAATTATGCATATTTTGTCAGTGATGTATACCGAGCGCAGGCTCTTGAACTTTGGGCTGAATGCTCCAACACGTCCTGGAGGAAGATGATTGAATGTAGCTCTGGGATCTTCGGGGCTAAAGCTCTAAAGCGCTTTGTGCTGCTCGGGTGCTCTGCGGACGAGGAGGACTCGAAGGTCACAACGACCTCTCCTGCCCGCACAGGCCTGCACTGCAGCTTGCCATTGTCTAGAAGATGGCCGCGAGATGCGAGAAATAAGTGTTTCAGGATGCCCAAACAGCAACTCCTGCAAAAGATCCGGAGTGGTCTTGCTTCGTGCCAGCACACACACAAGTCTGCTGTCCGCGAGAGGAGTGTTGTGCTCAGGGTCGCACTCCACGCTCTCCACGGCTCCGAAATTTCGGACCAGCTCCTGCACCACTGTTGGACGCTCACAATTTAACTTATCTTGTGGTAGCCGCTGGATGGCCTAAGTGCCCTGGGTCGGGTAGTGGCGGTGCAGCTGCTTTGCAAATTTCGCCCTCGGCAACACGGAGCAGCACTGGGCGATCCTCCACCTCTGCTGGCAACATCTTCGTTGGAAGGCCGCTGACCTCGCAGGTGATTCTTGAAGCATGTATGCGTGTTCCTGTGACGGCGCCGAGGGCGCTCACTTGAAGGCACAAGAGATGCCGGCACCAAGAACTCCCAGAACCCCGATAAGATAGCGGTCTAAGCCATGCGGCAACGAGCTCCACCGGTCGAAGAGCCTCCAGCCTTCGAGCCATGGTCTGGTGCGCCTGCCGCACTCAGCCGCAAGGTGTGCCACATGTCCCACAAGCGGACCCAACGTGCCTTCGCGATGAATCCCTCGACCTGGAGCCGGAGCCTCTTGTGACTCAAGGGAGTGATCCGAACACGGTGGAAACTCCATATAATGCCGTGAATAACGCTAGTCACTATTCACCGTGGAACAGATGAAGCACGAAAAAAATATGCATAAGCAACTCTAAAGTGAGATCAAAAAAGACATACGTATGACATCTGTGCAGAATCACCCTTTACTTGGAGGTTCATGGGTACTTCTAACCCCACTTAGAAGTCTACTTAAGGCCTACTTAAGGGACTTGGGGGGTTCTAAGTACGATTATGGTTAAGTACAGTTACATTTGGGTAAGTACCCATGAACCTCCAAGTATGGCCAGTTGGAATGTCAGTTCAGTGGCTGCTCCAGCTGTGTTCGGGTCGCCTTGCCGCTGAAGTGAACCCTGCAACAGAGGAAGCAGAGGCTGAGAGACAAAAAGAGAGAGAGAGAGAGAGAGAGAGAGAGAGAATTGGGGCCATTCTTCCAACTTCAGGAACTGCCCATGGCATCAGCATGCATCAGCGGACCTAGAGTCAGAGGCTGCTCCAACTCGCTTGGCGTAGCCGCTGTGACCGCCAGCATTCAGTCGCAGGTACCTGACTCCTGTTGTCTCCTTTGCTGCACCAAATCCGATACTGTAATGATAACAGCGTACCGAGAGACCATGTCCGGGCGTCAACGACAACAATACCCTGGCGACACCAAGAAATCTGTGGGAGCAATTCTGCCCAGTTTCCGCGAGGCTTGCGATGTTAATTGCTTCGACGCCACCTGCAATATCCAGAATCAGCGAGCCCGGGTATGAAGATTGCACGGAGTAGCCTCGCGGTGCTCAAAGAAACTGATGCAGAAATTGAAGCCGGGCCAAACAAACACTCACAGACTTCAGATTGCCTCACTGACTCTCATACCATCCTCGAAACTTCATCTAGTGCTTCTGGGACAGGGAAGAATGTCATCCATCTTCTATGAGAAAACGTTAGGCCCGCCGTAGGCATGTTCAAAGGCCTGCCGATAACACTCAGACGCAAGTGACGCAAGCCTAAGCACTGAACCTGAAGCCCTCAGAACCCTAAACCCTAACCCCTAAAAAACCCAAAATGGAAGCCGGCCTAGGGCAGCCTTGTCGGATTTGAGCGCCCTCTCCGACTCGGACCAAATACCAGCTTTGGCATTCACGCATCGAGCCGCGCCCAGATGGAACTTGAAGCCTGGGCAAGAGGAGTAATTCTTTTAAGCACAGACTTGGAAAGCTCCAGCAGGCCAACCTCTCGAGTACGGAGGTCATGCGCTGTGTATGGCGTGCAATTAAAGGGACACGACACATGAAGTACTCAAGAATACACTGTCATGGCAGTCTAGCGCTTCTAGTTTTTGCCCGAAGGCTCACAAAACTTGGTGAATATCCTTTGGGTTGCGATTTGGCGTCGGCTATCGTTGGACCGTGCCGGCAGCTTGAGCTGTGTCGGATTGGCGTTGAAGCGGTGGAGTCATCCCGCAAGCAGGTGTGCAAGATCAGAAAACAGTGAGCAGCTGTAATGGAAGAGCTGGCGGTCAGCATCTATAATTCGTAGTAGAACACGCTGCCAAAAGTATGTTCTGTTTTTTGTTGAAATCACATTGGGCTTGGTTTAAACTGATGAAGAACTGGTTTTCGGATTGAGGGCATCGAACCAGCAGATCTCTGCTCCAGCAGCAGTTGCATATTCTGAGCGACATAGCCGAAAACATGCGCCATACTCAGATGTTCCTGCGCGTTGCTGCATACTGTTGCGCTGCAGATCGTTTTGACCGGCGATGCGCAACACACGAAACATTCACGTAGCCCATGCACGATATGTTGACATTGCATTGCCAGTTACTGGTATCCAGCTCACCCAGAATCATCCCCATACATAAACCCTGCATATGGACCCCAAATCCATCCCCCAACTTCGAAGGCTTGATTCCGGCAATAGGCCCGACTGTCACCCCCGCAGAAGAGAATCCAAGAGCCCGACGCACATATCCGCGCCTAGGATGTCAGGCATCACATCTTCCGGCAAAGCATGGATCAAGCAGCGCCGGGGCTTCGGACCCAGCAGAGGTCGGCCATCTGCACTTGGAGGTTCATGGTACTTGCTAACCAAATAGTACTTGCACTTTTCACCCAATCATAGCCTTATTAGGGTGACTAAGGGGCTTATAAGTGGGTGATAAATACAGGTTGGTTCTTCAGCACCACAAGCCTCCAAGTAAGTCCTTGTCTCATGTGCCTCCAAGGGGCGCCTGCAGCGACAGCTGGAAAACCTGAGAAGGACTTTTGGGAGACAAAGCATGGCATCTTAGATCATCTTCGGCATCTCACAACTTCGCGTCCGTACGCCTGAAAAAAACACTCACGAAGACGACGCGCCGCTTTGTTTACTGCACTGAGCCGGTCTTTGTACAGGCAAGTCCGCAGCGGCAAGGCACCCGCCTCTCTTTACCGAGAGCAAACACAAACCGCAGGCCTAAGACAGCCAGGCTTCAAGGACCCGCCGCTCCACATCTCCCAGCAATGTTTGGTGAGACCCTAGCTCGCCACACAGTTCGCAGGAGTTGATCGCAGCTTCATAGCTGACCATGTCCGGTGTGCCCATGCCTTCCAAGCAGCGGAGCGCTGCCCGCCAAGCGAGACCCTGGGAAAAGGATCGGAGGGCTCCATTGCAGGTGATCAGATTCATCTCCACCCGCAAGCCTGCGAGGTCCGCGAAGAGTTGTGCAGCCTTTGACCATGCCCCCCAAGCAGCGCAAGCGTTGATGGTCGAATTGTACGTGATCACGTCACGTTCCAGGCAGGCACATAGATCACAAGCAAAAAGGTCCAGCGCCTTCTTCCACTGCTGTCCCCTCTCCATGGCGCTCAGGCCCGTATTGACCGAGACTTGGTCGGCTTGCAAGTATGACCTGGAGCAGCTAGACTATGCCAGTGAAGACCCCACAAGCAGTGTAAGACCCTCCCGCAAAAGAGCACATCAACAAGCCCACACATTCTCACACATGAGTGACGCATGTAGACAGTGCTTGACAGTGGGAAGGCATGTGCCGCGCACAAGATTGGGAAATGACACGATGCCTCCGTCGGAACGATTCCAGAATCCGAGTCGCTGCCTTCCACTGGTTCGCTTCAGCACATGCACTCAGGGCGGTGTTGTGAGAAATGGCATTTGCCAGTGTAGATGCGGCATCCATTCCGACTAGGGCCAACATGGCCATCTGCCACTTGGAAGCTCGAGCATACGAGCAGACTGCTGCATTGTGTGTCACAGAATCTGGTCTCAGGCTTGTTCTCATCTTCTTGAGCAGTCCTGACGCAACCTCCCAGCGGCAAGATTTCTCACACGTGCTGACAGCAGCGTTGCACGACACGAGGCTCCAGCTCGGACTGCATCCCATGCAGCGCAGAGCAACTTGCCATTCTTCTGCAGTTTCACAAGCGCTGACAAGCGAACTGTAGCTGAAGGCATCCAGTCGCAGCGACAGGGCATATGCTTGCGCGAAGCAGCAGGCTGCATGCTGCCAATGGCTTCTCTTGCTCGATGCGCTGGTCAGCGAATTCAGGGAAACCGTGCTGGGCTGCAAGGATGCTGCCCGGAGATTTGCGAAACAAAGCGCAGCCTGTTCCCATTCCATGCGCTTTTCCATGGCGTCCAGGACGGCGTTGCTTGCAACCGCATCTCCCTGAACAGCCAGGCTGCGAAGATCTTGAAACAGAGCCAAGGCCTTCAGCCAGTGACGACTACTTCCACATGAGCTCACTGTCGTAGTGACTGCCACAACATCTCTTTGAACTTGCCCCATGCTGGCTCCTTGCAGCAGCCGTATTGACTGACGCCAAGTTTTGTCAGAGGTGGACATGGCACCGTTGTACACAACAATGCGCACTTGGAGTGAAAGAACCTTCAAGAGTCCCAGCAAGAGCCAGGCGTGCTGCCATCGCTCGCTCCGTCCACAGGCGTTGACAGTTGCTCCGCATGCAATGGTGTCTATCTGAAGATGTGCCATTTGCAAATGAAAAAACATCTCAAGAGCGGAGCTCCATAGGTGCTGCCGTCCGAGGTAGCCGATGGCTCTGCAAGACTCCACAATCCCAGCATTCTGAACATTCTGACCATTCTGAACAATGGCTGCGCTGCTCACATGCTGCATTCGGCCGGTAACCGATCTCCCAAGCAGCGGCGCATGGCTTCTAGTATTCGTTGTGAACGCCGTCACCAAATATTCGCCACTTACGTGGGCAGCAGGCTTCTAAGTGCGAAAAGTGTACATACGGGTCGTAAACACAGCATGCAACTCGGCAAGGCTGTCGACCCTGCCGCATTGGAGCAACCTCTGGCATTCAAGAGACCACATCAGAAACCGGACACCGGACAAATGCCAGTCCAAGCAGGGGCTACTTCAGCCAAACTACATGCGCGCGCGTTGCCTGCGGTACTGACTTGGCAAGATAAGGTTTGAAAGGGGAATCTCTGTATGCAGGTGTAGCAAGGTGCAGAGGCAGGTGCAGAGGATGAGGATTTAGCCGCACAGACTATGTCTGAGTCTCGTGCGTCTTGTTGACGCTACCCGACACAAGTCAGGAGAGGAGCCAAGGTTGCACCGCAAATACCATCGCATACCATCACCATATATACCTCTACAGGCATTGCAATGAGTATGCTTGAAAGATATCACAAGTAGATCACAAGTATGCTGAGATTCTTTTTCTGAAACAAATTATTAATAGATTAGTTGTTGCCACCCATCTAGTCACGCACTGGGGATTGCAACCTAGGAGGAAAAGTGGGCCACTGTGGACATGCCAAAGAGTGGAACAGAAGATTAGGGGAGCCAGGCTCATCTGCAAAAAATGGGCATCGGTCTCTTGGAGACAATTTGGCACCATGAACGATGCGGTCCATTGCCGTGTGAAACAACCAGCACATTAGGCTAGGGGGTCTCAGAAGTGACAGTGCACGAAGGTGTGCAACGGATTGGCCTGGGTTTCAGATGGAGATAATTGCCTCCTGGAGAGTTCTCGGATGGAGGAAGCCAGGTTGATCATGTCGGACGATGCTTCGTTTGCTCGACGCCAGTTATCTTGCGTCACCTCCAACGAAAAACGATTGCCGACAGCAACACGCAGCCTGGCTCGGGTTAAGCACGTCTGGAAGACGTAGCTGTTCTGCACCTCAGTTCAGCAACTTGCAGCCAACCTAGCTGGTACAGCTATACTTATACGTGCAAGCATCTTCTCAGATTTTGTGGAATATACGGTAATATACGTTGTGAAAACCTTCTTCGTGAGTTCTGAGTTCTGAGCTGTGAGAAGAAAGGCCGCGAGATCGTTGAGGTCGACTGCAAAGGTCATGAGCCTTTGAGGGGCAGCTCCCTTCGCAGCTTTAATGAGGTCGACAAGAACCTCAAGCAGCGTCGTGGTTGTTACAAAAGGATTTGACTTTGCATGTTCCAGGCAGAGAGGAAGGAACTCGAATACCAGAGCCTTCCTCACAAGACCATCTGCGAGGAAATGCTTCGTCAGAGCGAGCTGGTCCTTGCTACCGAGCTGGTTCCAAGCTGCCCGGAGCTCTTCAAAATCTTTCGGCGTCCGAGCACGGCAAAGGCATGCCAGCCGCAGCAAGGCAAGGTCTGCAGGCTTAGAGGGCGTAGCACCAAGCTCCAGGCCTCTGTGGTGTATGTACGTCCAGTATAAGGGCGTTGCATCCAGCTCCAAAGCTCGCTTCAGCACAGAGAGCCCCAGTATGGTCGTCTTCGCATTGTGAGACGTCATGAAACGTGATCCATGCCCACCAGCCAAGCCACTCATAAACCCCAGCAGGAAGAGAATGTAGAACTTGAGCAGGCTCTCTTGATGGTGACCCTGCTGCGCCTTGATGAACTCTTGTAGCTGGTGAAGGTTTGCGGGTACGTTCTCCCCTTGGATCATCTGCGCAAAGTTAAAAAACTCCTGGAGCTCGAGTGTGTTGTTGATCATCTGAAGGGTCTGCGCGGACATGCTTTCAATGGACGGCATCGCCTCGGGAAAGTTATTCAGGACGAAGCGCACGGCGTGCTCGGGGCGCTGATAGCTTGTAGGGACTTGCCGAATCAGGGCTTTGTACTTACCGATTCCGCGAACCGCAAGAAGGAAGATCACACCCAACAGGTCTTCTGCATCTGGATGTGCCCAGTCCAGGAGCGCTAGTAGTTGCTTCCACTGCGAGTGTTCCAAGCGAGAGCTTGGGTCCTGGCACGCCGTGTACCTCAGAGAGTCTTGACAGGGATTTTCTCATTTCGGGTCCTTTTGTTTGGGGGGTCCATTTTAAAGTTTCACGGTGCCGAATTTTTAAGGGGGGGGGGGGCGGCAAGAAGGGACCCTCACGGAGAGAACTACCCAGTTGTGTGAATGACAGTTACTGAGAGTGGCACAGAACCTCCAGAAACAACCAGCCCCAAACCTCTAACCCTCAACCCTAAACCAGAGGGACCTGAGGCGCGAAACCCATCCAAAAGAAACCAACGAATCTGCGAACGTTGGCAGCAAAAAAGCAGCAGCCACCACCCGACAAAGAAAAGCTCATCACGAACTGTGAGATTCGTTAAGTTTACTTGTGACGTGGGTTTAGGGTTCAGGGCCAGTTTAGGGGCGCAGAATCTGCCATGCTTGAAAAGCCCTCAGAACTCAGAACACGTAAGCCGCCTAAGTATCTTTCGAGTGCTGGGCTGGCGAACGGGACAGCTTGCCAAACATTCCCCAGCGATCGCCCTGAATGCATGGCTTGCACGCACAACACGTTAGAATCATTAGAAAACGGCAGAGTCCCGAACCAGGCGGGCCAGAAGATGACCACGCCCCCCCCCCCCCCCCCCCCCCCCCCCCCCCCTGTACCATCGAAACGTTCCCTTACAAACCAACTCAAAATGAGCTGCGACTCGTAGTCTGCACGTACCAAGGAGACGAGGCTAACAATGGCTGACTCGGCGCGCTCCTGCTCTGAATTTGCCTGCGCACTTGCAAACCTGGCATGCAATCCGTCATCAGGATCCAGCTCCACGAACGACCTGCGAGGCCGATGTTCTTCTGCGCTCAAGAACTTGTAGCATTATGACATTTCGGGCATGGCGAGTGTGGAGCTCCAGACAGGGGGCAGCTTCTACGAGACTGGAAATTGGGGAGCTTCAAGCCCATAACATGAAATCCGCACCAACATGGCCTCTGCAGCTGGGTCAGAACTCCGTGGACGGGCTCCTGAGGTCAGGAGACATGCGCTAAAGTTGTTTCGGAGCGG